GTATTACTAATTACATAAATAGCTTCGCCAGTGGGCGTTAACAATAACATTGAGGGTGCAAGGCGACCCTGTCAGTCAGGTCAATACCCCATTTCAGGTACAGACAAAATAAGTGAATTTAAATTTGGAAATTACAGTAATATAGCGAACGTGACTTTACAAAGGAAGAAATGTTACAATAAGATAGTAGAATACATTATAAAATTTATGGTTCAAAAATACTGAGATTACTGTTTGCATTTGATAAATAATATATACCTGAAAATTGTAGCTAAATAATAAAATGAATAATAGAATTGAATTTGTATACAAATAGAAAATAATACTTAAAATTTCTGACAATAGTAAAATTAGTATGCAAAATAAAATAAAATCTATAGTATTGTTAAGATGCAACAACGTTTTACAATTACTTGTGGTGTACAGATTAGAGTTCAAATTGTGATCCAATTCAAAAAATTGCTCACTAAGAATTTCTTAATACTGTTTTCATAAATATTTTTTATTTTTAATGTACTTTATTTATGCGGTCTCTATATCTATAGTATCAGGTATATAACCTGCATGTTTTTGGGTACTTTAGGTTACCTGTAAATGACTTCTTAGCTACCGGTACAGTACCGGTAAACAACTTCTTAGTCATCGGTACAGTACCTACTGGTTAACACCTTCTTATGTTAACCAGTACGGTACTGATGAATAGCTTCTTAGTCACCAGTACGGTACTGATAAATAGGTAAGGTACCGCTTTATCCATAAATACATATATACATATGAATATTTAAATATATAACCTGCATCGTGGATTCCTTTGCGCGCGAACACGGCTCGCCTTGAACAACTCCGACTCGCGGCATTCATCGTAGGTTTACAAAATATATTTATTTTATAATGAACAAAGTAGTGAAAACAAATGTATTTAAAAAACCGATGTGTCTATTCACCGGTACCGTACCGGTAACAAAGAGCTATTCGTCGATACCCAGTAAGGAAGAATTACATTAAATATATCCCACCTTAAACGATTTTCAATATTTAAATGCAGTCTTACAACGTTTGAGTACCTGTAAATAGCTTCTTAGCTAGCGGTACACTAGCGGTGAATAACTTTGTCAATGGTACGGTACCGATGCATAGCTTCTAAGTTACTGGTACGGTACCGACGAATGGTTTCTTAATAACCGGTATGGTACCGATGAATAGTTCCTTGGTCACCGGTACGGTACCGATGCATAGCTTCTTAGTCACTGGTACGGTACCGACGAATGGTTTCTTAATAACCGGTATGGTACCGATAAATAGTTCCTTGGTCACCGGTACGGTACCGATGCATATATTCCTAGTCACTGGTACGGTACCGGTACATAAATTATTAGTCACTGCTACGGTACCGATGAATGGTTTCTTAATCACCGGTATGGTGCCGATGAATAGTTTCTTGGTCACCGGTACGGAATTGATAGATAAATAAAATACACTAACAGTGAATAACTTCTTTGTCAACGGCACGGTACCGATGCATAGCTTCTTAGTCACTGGTACGGTACCGATGAATGGTTTCTTAATCAAAGGCATGGTGCCGATGAACAGTTTCTTGGTCACCGGTAAGGAACTTATAGATAAATAAAAAACAGTGAAACACTTCTTTGTCAACGGTACGGTACCGATGCATAGCTTCTTAGTCACTGGTACGGTACCGACGAATGGTTTCTTAATAACCGGTATGGTACCGATGAATAGTTCCTTGGTCACCGGTACGGAATTGATAGATAAAGATAAATAAAAAACAGTGAAACACTTCTTTGTCAACGGTACGGTACCGATGCATAGCTTCTTAACCAGTGAATAGCTTTATCCAAAAATACATGAACTGTCGAAATTATAAGAAAAAAATAACTTTGATTTTAAAACAATATTCTTCTAAATATATGACAAATATTGTCTGCTTTATTCATGAGTTTACAGTTGAGTTCAAAGAAATGTCTATAGTGTATTTGAGAAAAAATTAACCTGATNCCAAAAATACATGAACTGTCGAAATTATAAGAAAAAAATAACTTTGATTTTAAAACAATATTCTTCTAAATATATGACAAATATTGTCTGCTTTATTCATGAGTTTACAGTTGAGTTCAAAGAAATGTCTATAGTGTATTTGAGAAAAAATTAACCTGATTCGTAATCAATGAAGACATGTAACTATTTAATTTGGTTTTCATAATTCGTGTAGCAAATTTGTTTTGCAGCACTAATGGGTACGTTCGTCCCGAAGGAAAAAAAAAATCAATTCATCAACTTTATCCGCTTATAAACCGCTATTATTCATCCTGAAAACGCATTAGTTGTACTTTGATCCGATTTTCCACTTGACCTAAAGTAAGTAAATTGAATTTTAAATTACAAATTTTTCTTCGAAGTTGTCACGGCAAATAGCCCTGAAGTTTTAAACACGAAAACAATTTTCTAAACATCTGACTGAACACAATTGTAGCTACATGTATACATAATAGGCAGCCTTTAATTTTCTAACGAAAAATATAAAGTTTTTCTTTTCAATTTCCTTTATGTTTGATAAGTTGTCAACTTTTTCTGCATTAAATATGACTCTTATATAAGAACAGTAGGAGATAGCAAATAAATTTCAGTTTTAGTTTTAAACTTTCAAAAAGAGTTTCCTTACTTCGGCTCTTGCTATTTGCACATTATTATTATTATTAAGGAAACTTTTAACTATGTTTCACAGTTCGAAACTATCACCAACTTTGCTCTATTTCAAACAGGCTTTTTTTTATTTCTGACAAGTTTGATGCAAAAATTTAATTTAGGAAAAGTTAAGAATAATCTACGTGACATCATTGACTTAGAACAATCACTATGTCTTGAGCTCATTTAAATTTGAAAAATATCTCGTGCATATAATACCTAAAGTTCAGAATCTACCCACACTGTGGATATATTTTTAAAATTCCTTAATCAACCAAGACGCCTTATACGTAGTAGGGTAGAGTCGCTGTTGGCATTTTGCAGGCGGTCATAAATCAATTTTATATATATTATGACATTTAAATCGGCAAGAGGTGCTGTATAAGGGCGGATAGGAATAATACCCTGTAAAATTGTGATTGTAGATTTAATCTGTTGTCCCTCTCTCTGTCGGCATGTCACACCTTTCCCTTTAATCCACCTCTTAAGAAATTGTGATATAAAAACGTAGATGAACGATCCGAAAAAAAGTTGACATTTTTGAAAATATATTGTTCTTTTACGTATCTAACACAGTAGGAAGTATCTTCAATTTTTTTTACATCCGACCCGATATTTACTTATCACCAAAAAGCAATCAATCAAATCCCTAGTATGTAGCAGTAGTATTTTCTGTATTTTTTTTCCTTCCACTACATATCTTTATACTGTCATGTAGGTAGTTTAGTCTTTCATTCTATACCGACGGTCACTTTTTCTCCTTAACCAGAATGAATACCTTTTAATTAACATTGCAACTTGCGGCAACAAATGCATAATTATCTCGTTAATAGAATAAAGATAGATAATGGTTTCTTAAATTATAACCTATCCGACTGTTGAGATTACAAAGCAATCAGTAGCTTAGGCGGCTTTTCAAATACGGACAATGCTTGATTCATTAAATAAATTGTTAATTAATTACGAGAACAAGTTTTACATCTCGACTTCACGTACTTCGGTTCGTCGTGTAGCACAATTAATTAATAGGTGACTACAATACAATTTAATTTTCGTTATCTACTACAATGAATCTCTCAATGACTTTACAATATCCAATTGTTAATGTATAATGATATGATTTTAAGAGTAAAACGATTTTTAAGTTATTTTAGGATCCAGTTGGTATGAAGCATACAAAAACACCAGCCAAAACTGAACCTTGGCAAAATTCACCAAGACTCGAACCCCATAGAGAAAAGAACCCCGTAAAAACTACTAATATTTGTAATAACCAGAATGCTATATGCTTCCTTATTTGCCTTTGTCATCCGTTTTAATTGGAAACAAGACACCGATGCCAAAATAGTTTGCTTAGCGTGAAAGATCAGAGCCAAAATAGGGTTGCAAATAATTTTATTGTTATAAAATCAATGTCCATAATTTTATATCAAAATATTTACAACCCCATTTTGTTTCCGATCTTTTACACATTGTAATAAGAGAAAGAAATGGAATCAATAGTTTATTTAGCTTTGGGTTCATCTAATAAGTGAAAGTTTTCGAATCGTTTTCTAAAAATTTTGAATTATATGCATTTATTAGCACACCACAACGTCTTGTAGTTTTCAGTTTTACACAGCTGGCGTATATCCATTCGATATTGTTTTGTGGGCTATTTTATCGTAATTCATAGAATTTTGTAGTTCCTTGCTAAAAGTAGACTAAGTGGAGATTTGGCAGGTGATGATATCAATTTGGAACTTCAAAATTCCATGGACCATGGCATTGAACCCGGAAAACAATATCAATTCAATATTTTAGATTATCCATTTCCAAGGAGTTTAGAATCCTTNGGTACTGAAATCAATTTGGAACTTCAAAATTCTATGGATCATGATATTGAACCCGGAAAACAATATCGATCCAATATTTTAAATTATCCATTTCCAAGGAGTTCTAATTTCAATGGCAACTTTCATTCATCATTTTATACAATATCTGATAGGTGATACTACTAAAACATTTAACGGCAAAGACGTATTTTGCATTTTACAAATTGACAAAACGTTTAAAAAAATATTTTAAATGAAATACAAAATCTGCTTTTCTCGAAAAAGTATTTAAATGCAAGATACAAATAGTTATTTTTTATTTCATATTTGCATTTTAAATGCAAGTATTTCAAACAAATCACATCTCTGGGTATCACTAGTAATAACCACATACAGTCAATTTTAATCATCTAAGCCCTTCTTAAAATAACTATAGTATTATGCCAGAACATATGGATGTTCGTTATGGATACGTTTGTCAGAAAGTAAAGCTGTTTTAGAATTAACTGCATAGGAAATGGTGAAATTGTCGGTAGTTTTAAGAATTTCGTTGACTTTAATGGAACGTTCCTCCTGCAACTTTTGCAATCTGTTTCCAATTTGAGCTTCAATAACGGGTGTCAACGTGTCGGGAAACTGATAAAAGGAATGCAAAAGCCGTAATTGGCTAAGTTACAGTGACGTATTTCACGCTCCCGAGGCATCCAACTAATTGATAAAATTTTCTAAAGTATTGCAAGCAGTTTAGGAAAAATTGGATTCGAATAATTCGTCTTAAATCTAACTTTCCGAGAATTTGCGTCTAATCACTTTGCTAATTCGAAGTATTTCCTTTCAATACTCATACATTTATAATCAAAATGGTAATAGAAACCTGTAGCTTCAACTCCACCCAAAACGGGCTTGAAAATAAAATTCAAATACAATAGGCATGAGCATCTGAGCTTGTCGTTTTTCTTCATAATGTATACCTACTAATTTTTGGGTTACCTGGTATATACAGCGATTAGATACTGTTTAACTTGGTTTTTTGAATATCCATAAAATTACCATTAGCCACCCTGTATATACATATATATATGTTTTAGATGGGTCACCTATAATCTTCAATAATTTATTCTTACGAAATTATTACTGAAAATTGTAGGGTTGATCGGATAGTTATGAAACAATGTTATAATATTAATTAATGAGTCAAATCTTACTTGAAACATTAAAAAGTTGTTTTTTGATTTGAAAAAGTGAAACTTAAAATATAAGACACCCCACAAAATATAAAACACGTACGAATTATCTACCTCTGTAAACAAAGGAATGAAAAAAATGTCATTTGTTTGTCGCCGAGACGACAATCTGAGGAAATGACAAATTGAAGAAAACAAATATAATATTTACAGAAAATTGTGATTTATTATTTATGAGCTCGGAAAATAAAAAACGCCTTCAAAATATTCGCATTTTACCACCATCTCATATTTCTCCTTCAATATAATTTACGAAAAACATGAAGATTTTGTAAACATCATATCACTGCAAATTATCCCCTACTACACAAAAAGTACAAAAAATAAAAAATCAAATACCTGTATACTACTATATATAGCTAGGAAGTCAGATAAGTCAGGACGGAAGGAGTAGCAGGGATATAAGGCAGAGGATAGCGCATGGTAGAGTCGCCTTCAATAAAAAGAAATCACTTCTATGTTCGCGAACGGTTAATTTAGAAATTTGAAAAAGGTTGTTAAAGATGTATGTTTGGAACACGGCACTGTGGTTAGAAGCGTTCGAAATGTGGTGTTACAGACGAATGATGAGGATATCGTGGATAGAGAAGGTTAGAAATGAAGAGGTATTAAAAAGAGTACGAGAACAGAGGACTCTATGGAAGTCAATAAGAAATAAGCGAGATAGGTTGGTAGGACACCTTCTCAGGCATGAAGGTCTAATCAGAGACATATTAGAGGCAGAAACGGAAGTTAGGAGGGGTAGGGGTAGACCTAGATTAGATTACTGTTCGCAAATAGTTAAGGATGTGGGAGGCTCTAGTTTTAGGGAAATGCGAAGATTAGCTCAGGATATGAAAGAGTGGAGGTACGTGTCCAACCAGTCTTAGGACTGACGACCTTATGATGATGATGTTGATATAACTACAGGTTCCCGATGCTCATTGATTTTACTTTAAGACATGAGGACAATGGCGCGATAGACTTTTTCGATATTTTTCAGTATTCTGTACATGAAAACACATGTACCTAGCTTTCATTTGATTTCAATCACAACAATATACGAAACTCGCCAAAAACTCGAAACTTTTTGGGCAAATACTTAAAATTCTTATGATACATGTAATATGTACTGACGCACACGTGAGCGGTGTTACCAGTCGTTCTGCACTGTTTTTAATGATATGAATGCCGAGAGACTTAATATGATATATATTACTGGCAAGTTGATGACCGAACATAGGAATATTTTGTTATATTATTAAAGGGCAGCATCATCTTTAAAAAAGTCTTGGTCTTTGTCTTGCATTTTCGCAAGACGAAGACCACGACTGCAAGATCAAAACCAATTTTTCTCTTCACTATTGAGGTAAATCCTTTCGGGTATTTTATTATTTCCACGCCACAGTCTCCTTTTCTATATGTAGAATATTCCTATGTTCGGTTGTCAACTTTCCACTACCCTAGAGAAAAATTTTCAGTCTCTCTCCTGTCTCTCAGAGTCTTTCAGCGTCTCTGAGAGCGTCCCTCACAGTCTCTCAGTTATTGCCTAAATGTTTTTATGGATATCTCACAGTCTGTATGAGAGATTCGAACTATAAAATTGTTAATTCAGAGATTCGAGTCTCTCACAGAGACTGAAAAATTGAGAGACTCGAGTATCTCGTAGAAAGACTGGATACGAAATGAGAATCTCTCTATGAGCGACTCGAGTCTCTCGTTCAGAGACGCTAAACAGTTTTTTTGACAGTATCTCGACAGTCTCTCTCAGCAACACCAGAGAGACTCGATGAGAGACGGAGACTCGAGTCTCGCTTTCAGAGACTCTGAGAGACCAGTTCAGTCAGTGTGAGCTCGAAACTGTTAGCACCATTGTTTCGAGAAATCGAAATTCACTTTTTTTGGTGAACAATACTATGACGTAGTGTCGGCCATCATTCTTTTCTAATTGTTGCTGTTGTCGGCCATCATTGTTTTTCAATTGTTGCCGCATTGTCACTGATGTCGATCATTATGGTTTTTTAATAGATGTAAAATTTAAAGAAATTTCAGCATATAAAATTGCTGATAATAACTTTCATTTACGTAATATTACTTTGCCCTGTGCTGACAGCACTCAATATTTATAACAGCTCAATAATTATCCCATTATCTTGGAATCAAAATCAAATGTAAATCTAATACTTTTCGAAAGGTTTAAAATAAATTCAACTTTAAGAACAATTGATATATATTTCATCGTGTTGCACACTTGGGTGTTAGTACAGAGTTAAATCGTCGCTGCAAATTTCCGCAAGTGATAAAAAAAACTCACTCACCCTTAATCGAAAATCGCTGATGGTCCAAACCCTGCTAGCAAAGTCATTCGAAGCACCAAGTAACAACGTCCCCGAATTATCGAATTCCACTGACATAACACCCGCGTTACTACCGACTAACACTCCGCGTAACTCATACGAACCTGTAAAACAAACACGATATTCAAAAACTTTTTCAAAAATTAGCGACCGAAACTGAATTAATCAATATTGCAAAAAAACCCCGACTAGAATAATACTTCACGTACTTTTAAATAAAATAAAATTAATAATAAATTTACAAGTCTTTTTTTACTTGTTTGTAAATACTTAAATATGCATTCCAAAATTAATAAATAAATTTTTAAACAACTAGGATCAACTTTACATCAAAATTTGCGTACAGTTAACATATTTTCATACATCACCCGCCATCTGTCACAACTATGTTGAAGCATAATTATAAAATATGAGGTGGTTGCTGCCATCTAGTGTAACTAAATAGAACTAACGTAAAACCAGTGGGGTAACTAGTACAGCGGTTACCAGTAATAAATAATCAGTATAGAAACAAATACCTGATGTAATCCAACGCAATTTTTTAAAATTTATAATATCACAGTTTTTTGATAACGCCGGGATAACTGTTTTCGAATAATAAAACAAACAAATTAGAAAAAACAAAATTTGCAGACGGTCATTTTTAAAATCTTAAAAACTTAATAATGGCTTTTTTAGCATAGTACTACCTAGGACAAAACAATTTATAATGAAAACAGCATCAGGCCGCCATCTAACAATCATCATCACTAAAGCACTAAAGCGAAAAATATTCTTATGAAAGTATAATGCCAAATAAAATACAAAGAAATAAGTCCTTGCGTTCTAATAAACAGTTAATTACATATTTAATACAATTAATATACCATTCCCACGAATATGAGATATTACTCATTATAGGAGGAAGTTTCTTTGTACTTCTGTTTCATCATAAAGGAAGTGAAAGCCGCGCATTATTTGCGCGAGCGATCTGATGCTGTGCAGTTTTGTCTCCAAGGCCGAAGGAGCGGGAATTAACTACTTTTAAAATAAGAACATACCTTTCGAAACGTCCCATAATTTTACCCTTCGATCAGCACCACCTGTAGCTACCAAACGTTCTAAGTGGCTCCATCTAACTGCATTAACTTCACCATCATGGGCTTCCTTTAATAAAAAAAAGATACTAAGGTTCTTAAATTGTCTTTCTTTTTTAAGTGCCCAAATATTAAGTGGCGTAATTAAATTATATCTATTAATCAGTCATACTTACAAATTTAATAATGCACTTAGTTGGCACGACGGATTGACAAGGGGCACCCACACAAATCATATCGTCAGGGCTAACAGCTCGTGCGTCTTTTGTAGCATCTTCTAGTTCTTTTTGAACTTTAGCGTTTCTTTTCCTGAAAAAAAAAGAACCCCATTTTCATCAATATAGTACAATTTCAAATAAAAATTGGGAAGCAACTTCTAATTTTTGTCAAGATAAATTAATAGAATAATGCAAAAGAAAAAGTGTTTAAGTCTACCTTAAATGTATGTTATAAGTTTAAAGGTTTCCCTGCATATTTTCAAATTTATTGAATAGTATGTATGGTGGATGTTAATACTACCAACTAAATAAACATTGTTTTTACATTTACAATTTGAGAAATAATAAAAGCCCTATATTTTTAAATAATGACAATTGTCCTATAATGTATAGAATTTTACTTAAACTATTATTCTCGAAGGAACACCCTAATGAAGAAGACCACAAAATAACGGTGTGTACCTTAAAAATAAGAATATCTGTGTGTGTATTTATTTACAGATTTCTACAATATTTACAGATACAACTGAAAATAACAAAAAATACTATACAGATAAACAAGATCTTTTATAACTTTTATTTTATACAAAAACTTACCTGAAAAGAGTAAAAGAACCCAAAAAAAGGGATGAGCGTTTTGATGACTCACTGCAAACAAGTACAAAAGCGAGCATAATCTTTACAAATCAACTTAAATAAAGCAATTAAATTACAAAAATTGAAAGCTGCATGCACCAACACCTGTACAATGAATTTCCTGATTTTATCACAACAACATTCAACAGGCCTTTGATTTTCCACAGTAAACTCTTTTGCTCAGAAATGAATTAAACATTCAATACCATCACCACTTTTTTTAAAGAAATTAATAACTAGTAAAACACCCTTCAACTTCTAAAAAACAATATTGTAAAGCTGTGTCTTATCAAATAAATTTGTAAAAGTTTAAAATTTGTTTCATTCTAAGTCAGTACAGTAAAATATAACATTCTATCAAATAATTTGTGTTTATCGAACAATAATATCAGAGCAGAAAAAATAAGCTTATTTCTTGTAATATGATTGATCTTATTGTCAAATATTAAAACTGTTTATGATTTTATATACTGAAATGCTAGTTTAGATATTTTTTCGTTAATCCACAACTTTTCAATCTAAACGTTAGAATTTTAGTAGCCAAAAAAGAAAAAAGAAAACGAATCATTTCACTTACCTCAGAAGTTTTAATAAATTGATCTAATTTTTGTCATAACACATAATACAAATAACACTTGCAAAAAAAATATTGACAAAATAAGAATTACATTCATTCACAAGAATTTTTCTATCTAGGGTGATCTACAAAAATTCTACGCAAAACAATTACGTGCGTATTTAATGTTAATTACTTAATTTTTTCTTTCTTGTAGGGAACATCTCAATCAATAATATTAAATAGAAACATTTTTGCTAACAATCTGTATTATAAGCTTTGTTTTAAAGATAAAAAATGCCTTATTGATTCAATAATCCATCAAGACCCAATACTCCACATAAAACGTTTAAAAACCAAAACGCGTTTCGAGGTCCAAGGTGATATCTTCAGCTACAGACTCAACTAATCTAAATTTAAATTTTAAAAGGGTACGTAAAAGCGATGGAGTTTGAGGGTGACAGCGATCCTATTCCAAAGTTGGATCATTTCGAGTTATTTTTGAAGTGTAAAAGCAGGATTAGGTATATACATTTTATACTTTGAAAATGGAATGTGCCTAGCCTGAAATGAGCAAAATATATGGAGCAAAATAAAAAAACCATAGAAGCCAACTCAAAAAAATCACAAAAGGGGTAGAACCCAGACCCACACTACATTAACACCGAGTCAAAACGCCAATAAGATTTACCTGAGCATTAACAACGGTGAAAGTGCCATGATATATGTATAATTATCTCCAGTTTCGCCTATAAACTGGTAGAAAAAAATATGTAAATGTTTGTATGTTTGTAATACAAAACTGAGCATAACACAAGTAGGACCCTCGCCGCTCCGATAAACCACCTGACCCACCATGAATCACCTGACTTGGCGCAAAATATTAATACAAACCACTTACTTCAGAAAGTTGTCGTTCTCTTCATTCATACGATCCGCATCTTTGGCCTTGTAATTAATCAATCGCTCCACCAACTGTCTATTTTCTTCCTATAAACAAATACATAACAATAAATGACAAACTTTCATAAAAAGCTTCAAGCACTTAGCTTGTTTCTTTTGGCGAACACTTTAGTGTATTGTAGAATGTAAATGTTAATTTGACTAATGCATTCGTTGTTTGCAAAACAGAAAGCACCCACTCCTTGATACAATGTGCAAAAATTTATGAAAGGCAAAATACAAAACGATTTTTAATGTAAACCTACTGTAAAATGCACTTGTGTACATTTTATCAAAACGGGCATATGACGCATGTGACGCATTTTATGTTATTACTTATTTTCAGAAACATAGATCTTACACTGATGGGTCTTATGTTGGATCCTCGCCAAAAATGCATCTCTCATTTCACCATTTCCTGGCAAATTTGATACAAGTTAATCAGCCGAAAGTTTCCTAACGTTTTTTTTGGCACAATTGTACAATATTTAATACTTTCAACTAACGTTTTCTAGCAAAAATAATTAATATTGGTATTTATTGGCTGCATAAAATAGAAATTACGTTGAATAAGTCAGAAGTACTTTATTGATATAGGAATTCATTAGTGGTGCTTTAAATTTTATAAAATAGGAGCTGTGCATAACATATGGCTTGGTAATGAAGGGGAGAGGACTGATAATAGGCTATTCTGAATCATATGTGGGGGGGTTTAATACCTAAGCAACGTGCTTATAAACTATTAAAGAAATTAAAACTTTTTGAAACATCGAGAAAAAGAGGATCTAGAAATGGATCAATATCTACATATAATTAATTGTCAAACTGAACTGAACATTTTCTGCGACATAGTTTGCAAGAATGCCTTAACCCTGAGATTTATTGTTTCAGACGGTTTTGAATTAAAAAAAGAAATACCAAGTGAATTTCATTACAAAAATGTTAAAAAGACCAAGTTGTTCTAGGGGTTAGTAAATGCGGATCATGTAGGGGGTAGGGGCTTAAAAGTGGCTAATATAGAGTCACATAGTTTATGTACAACCCCATAACAACAAAAAAAATTAACATGATAAATATTAAGTCATAGGACTATAATACATACATGCATTGATATACATCTCCTACAATTCATACATTAAAGTTATAATAGTTCTATCAGTACAATTAAAATGTCTCTAATTAAAAACAAAAGTTAACAAACCCATTGTAAGAGATAAATCAGTTTATTTTACATAGTGCAAAATGTATGTATGTATTTGTATAAGAGCAAAAAACTTTTTAATACCTGTGCTTTTCTCAGTTTATCTTCTAAGGATGCAAAGGCAATCTGAAGTGCCTGGTGTTCATCTCTAATGATTTGGTTGAGATTTTCTAATTCCTTTATGCTATTTTGGTACCTTCTAATTTCAGTACGCAAACTTTGGTTTTGTGCTAAACTTTCTGCCAAACTAAACAAAAAAATTAAATGTTACGAAACATTTTACTTCAAAAAAAATCAAATATGAAATATACTATAGCAAATAAGCATAAATATTATAAATAATAAATAACTCATTAACAAGCAAACAATATATTGCAACAGAAGATCATGCAACATTTGATAATTCTACAATAAAAGAACCTACCTAACTTCTTTCGATGCAAGCATTTTTTCTCTTTCTTGAAGTTTACTATTAAGATCAATTATTTGTTGTGCATTCTCTCCTTTTCTTTTGTGCAAATCTGTTAATTCCTCTTGTTGGGTCATAAGCTTATGCTCTAATTGTTGAATCCTTTCATGCAGTCGTGACTCGTTTACTGAAGGTGTAGATGTACTTACAAAACCTTCTTTGAATTTCTCTAATTGTACTGATAATTGAACATTTTCAATTCGTAAAGAATTGGCATGATCAAAAAGTTTGTTCTCTGTTAAAACCGAAGACAAATTATGTTAGCAAGTCGAAGTAAATAAGTAATAACTATTAACTTACGAAAGGCAATTAGATCCTGAAAGCGCTCTGTCTGGTACTTATTTCTATTTTGTAATTGTAAATGTATGCTGTTTCTCCAATTACTTTCTTCCTCCATGTTTGAATTTCACAACGAATAGTTCATGCTATATAAGCTACAGTTTAAACTTAACTTCTTTTAGTATTGAAAACTGTATTATTTCGTCAATTTAAAATAAAAATTTTAGGTTATCCAATTATGGTTATAGTTTAAAAATGATAGTAATCAGCTGATTTTGTATTCTATGGATATATGGTCTCTATGGAAGTGGTCTATCATAGGTGTGTTCAACTAATTGAACTGCTAAATCATTCCAACCAATCCATTTCATTTCTAGATCAAAATAAGTATTAATTAACTACGGTTGGAATTTTTATTATTTTAAAAAACTGTTATTGTTATCTTTAAATTTATTACATATAATACATACTCTCATTTTACAAGTACTCTTTTAATAATGATAATGTTCTTTAATTAATTGTAAGCACTTTTAGCATCCGAAAAATCAATTTATTATAAAGGTCCTAAATCATCTCAAGTTACGATTTTTCCTTGGATATCAATAAAATTATTTAAGGCTATTGATTTGTATTTTATTAATATATTCTTCTATAAGAACGTGATGCGTGATTGTATATACTTCGATACATTTTTCATATGGCTTCTTATACCTACATATGTACATAAATTAATTGCAGATACACGCAAGTCATATTGCTCATCAGAAAGATATTCTCCAAATAATTTATAATACACATAAGTATACTAGCTATGTGATATTTTTCATCTAATTGTGTCTACTAATATTTATCACGTAATTACATTTTTGCAGAATTTGTTTTATTGAAAGTGAAAAATATTTAGCTCTTGCTTAATAATTTTTCTCTTATATATATATTTGTATA